GCGTGGAGTGCGAACTAGCGACGTCACTGCTTTGCTATACTTTAATGTATGTGTTAACTATATATATGAAGATTGATAATGTGCATAATTATTATTTTTTTTTAACCTTCGATACAGATGCATAATAATATGCAATTTGCAATTCTCTTGAATTACTTTTACTAATACTAGTGTAAATCATAGTAAATGCTAGACATGTTTACTTCACTGTGAGATGAATGCCCTTCCCCCCTCCCACTACAAGAAAATGACAGGTACACAAACTGGCTACTTAAATTTATACTGTAACATGACATTGAACTACAAAAAAAAAAAAACAAGAAGCGATAGTTTACTTGTTTAAAATCTTTATTCACATTAAAAGAATACTTTTGATGCTACAATTAAGTAATAGATCATATAGGTTACAAGTGGACAAGTAAGTAGATAGATAATAAATCAATATAAGCAGATTTCAGTGTGCTCAACTAACTAGACAAAATGGAATCAATACATACAACCTTCAGAATAAATAAAAATTTGATGGCTACAGACAATCTCTAAAACATCTTAATCTAACAAGTTTTTAATTTTATATGACTGTTTGTAACTAGACCTTAGTTTCACACACAAACATAAATATATGCATAAATAGATAGATAGACATCTATAAACAAATACTGCATAGCAGAATATCTATACATGAAAGCCAACCTATTGAAAAAATTGAATTTGCACATTCAACAACTAATAACCCCTCTGAAATTCAGCAATATTATCCAACACCTCTACAAAGACTCCAACTGCCAGATTATCCACAAATTAACCAGCCCTTTTTCAGTGAGTACAGAAATGTTATATGCTTTTCACGTATAAAGTACATCAGACCAAAAGGGTGGAATTCAGTGGACCCCCACTTAGCTGGAGGTCTAGATATTGAGGATGCTATACTCTCACATTGACAACAACATGCCCAATCCACGCTAAGCAAACTATGATGAACCTTCTTAATATAGGCTTAATGATCAACTGGAAAAAACACAAGTGATAAGAATCAACAACAAACAGGAGTTCCCACTTAGGACACAAGAAATGACTATTTGAGCAAGATCACTTTACACATCTAGGATCTGTTGTAAGATGATGGGGGAGCAGATGAGGACATCAAAGACATATCAGCAAAGTATCCAACATCCTCCGCACAATATGGAAGTCAAGAGCTGTCTACAGTTTTCCAAATATGACTGTTGAACAGCAATGTAAAAATTTGTTCTCCTTTATGGTTCTGAGACTTTCCATAATGAATGGCTGTGTAGCAAACTGAACATCAGGTGGCCTGAAAAAATAACCATCTGTGATGTTCTAACATTCATCTTGAAAAGACGCCTTAATCCTCAGGCTGGTAAATCCTGGGAAACAAAAAATACACATTTTGTAAGAAAATAAAGACAACTGTTTAATCTTTAAAGAGACCCCCTCCACCAGTTGCCGTTATGGTGACATATTAACACTGGAATATCTTGAGTGTGGAAATTGTACTAAAATAAAGATTGTCTACAAAGGTCTACCTTTTTATTTCAAACATTTGTTTGACAATGTGGCTTTGGCAAACATGCTGACTGATATAGCATAAATTTTGAATTAGCAGTAAGTTATCTAAGTTTTTTACATTTAGAATCAATAGTGACCACATATTAGTTCATGTATGAAAATATCTTTTTTAGTTTAGTTCAACTCATATATAGCCCTACTAAATATTAAAATAAAATAAAATGTTTTATTAATCCAGGTTTGCTGCAAACAAAATGTTTTGGTTAACAAATTAAAAATATCTGTTTCACATCACTTAAGTTTATTTAGCCTGCCGGTCCATGGGGCAAGTGCAGTAGAGATATAAGCTGTTTCTGTGACTTGAGCATATGAAGGGATAGTGTGGTCAGCACTTTGCCCAGTCTCCTTTACTTTCCCTAACATGAGTTAGGTACCTATCAGAGCAGCTGGGTGGACTCAGGGAAGTTCTGCTGACTTGAATCCAGATTCAAACTTGAGATTTTGGGTTATACAGTCTTGCTCTCTGCAGCTAAGCCACACCATCACCTTACATAATTTGCTTTAAATTAAATGTTTACACTCCACTTCTCATTGGAAAGTACATTGCAGTACAGTTGGTGCTTGTTTAGTGTATTCTTGATAAGTTTAAAATAGTTCATATTGACTATGCAAAACTGTGTGAGTGTAACCTTAAATTCACAATGATAAATAAACAAACGATATATAAAATATAACGATATACAAATAATACAGTGTATGTGAGTAGCAGAACATTGGATAACTAACCTGATAGTCTCAAGTTCTAATAATGGGCTCTAGTAACTGGTTGGGAAAATAAAGGTGGCTGAGCATTGTATTGAACTTGACTACACTATCCTTTCCTATGCCATGGTCAGAGAAACTCATGATCTCTCCATCTGTCCCATGGACCTGAAAATGTAAAAATAAATTTTTTTAAACAAAATACAATCGCAACTGTTCAGCTCTACATAATGGTTTTTAATTTATCATTCAGCTTTATTATTCAGTTTTACATTTTATACTGTTATAATGCAATTAGTTTACCTACAAAAGTCTGTACAATAAATTTCACCTTTCATTAAATCAGATTGGAAATTCTTTCATATTTACAATCATACCTGGTTTGTTTCAACCTATCACAGCACTTGGTTTTATTTTTTACTGTAATCATAAACCCATAAGCACAAAACACCTGCAAAACAATGACAAGATCAGTTTACTTTATTATACTACAGTATAAATGGTACTTAAAAGTGATACTAATATCTTAATTTAGTTTACATTCTTAAATGGAATACTTAAAATTTAGAACGTAGCATAGTCCCCCACCCCACAGAAGCCACATAAAGGGATCTGAACAATTAACTCTTAAAGGACCTACTGTAAGCATATTCTAAACCCTAACTGTTATTTAAAGTAACATACATGGTAGTACTCTAGCCACTTGAATACAGAGGGTTGTAAATCAGTTGATTGCAGTGTTCAAGTTTAAAACATTGTTGGTACCTTTGTCCCTGTGTCTGTCTTATTCCTGTCTCCATGTTGAGAGAAACTGAAGATTAAAGTTTTGAAAGTAGTAAAAATTTAAATAAAGTGCTTATGTCTAAGGCCCAATGGCATCGTTAGATCAGGTGTCACCCAAGTAACGATGTTTATCATTAGTCTGTTAATAATACAGTTGGAACTTGTATGTAGCAATGTTTTCTTTATAGTTAGCACGTTTACGTCATGATATCACCCCCACCCTCTTGTAATAGTTGTTGATTTGTACTTAAAAGACTATTTAACTTTAATTAATCATTAATGGGACTGGCAAAACAACATTTTTCTTCTGTATATTTTGCAATTTTTTGCCTTGGTGTCACCCCCCTTAAATGGTGTCATCTGTGGCATATATAAAAATGTTATATTAGTTATAAATATTAATAAGCCTAATAATCATATCTCACTATTTAAAAACAATTCTTACTCTCCCCTTTCGATAAATAATAAACGCTTTAGAGAAATCTAGTTAGAAATCTGTTTCTACATTCGAATATTATTTTCCTTCTTTAGGGACTAAATAAAATTTAGTTTAAGTTTATACATTTATTACCGTCCACCATATTATTTTCAACAAGTCCGTATCTTTAAGTTCTTCATATAGGCCCTAAGGATATATTTTTATATTAATATATTATCGCTGAACATGCTGATGTTGCCAAAAATATTGCGGACAGAGAGAAATGCACACATTTACCATCATGGGCTTTTTTTTTCTTATATAGATCTAGATCTATTAGGATTTTCAAGAGTTAAAAGCAAAACTGTTTTTCGTCATCAAATTAATTTAAAATTAGGGCCTATTAAATGTCATTAGGCCTAATATTTAATTAATTAATAGGCCTAATAATTAATTATGAAATACGCTCAACTGGAGGTGATCGTGAAGCGGGGAATGAAATACGCTAAAATGCAGTTTTACCCCTTCTAGATCTAGATGTAATTATTGTGCAATTTACTAATCAGTGCCAAGATCTTCTAGTATTTTAGATCTATTTTCTACAAAAATATCTTGATATTTCCCACCAAATCGATTTATTATGTTTTCTGTTGGATCTAGTTCCGGTATCGCAAATTATTTAAGTAAAATAAACAACGATCCTAGCTAATTGATTACTTAAAAATATTTCAGCGGGATTTTCGCCAGTACGGCTAAATTTAAAATTTCTGTACTTCCGTTTCGCCACTACGGGCTAATCCCGTCACTTCGAGAGCTTGAGCCGTGAGATAGGCTAGTATAAACAATTTAAAAAGATACTAGATGCTAGAATCTAGATACTATTAGATCTAGATGCTACTATAGTACAATCATTATATAATATACTTATTGAATTTATATGATATTTTTAAAATAGATGCTCTAGATTTCTAGATCTAGATCAACTTATGGTAATCTCACGATATAGCGTCGGAAATTATCTGGTGTTAAGTTTCGGTAACATTCGTTACTGTAAATCATAGTTTATTTGACCGTTGAATAAAAATAAAGTCTAGTGCATTAAATTAATGTTTTCACTTAATTTGATATTTAATTGACAGAAAATTAGCAAAAATTAGTAAATCTAAATATTATTAATAAATTAATGTTTTTTTTAAAGAAACACAGAAAAAACTTTTAGAAGATTTGCGAACACTAGAACTAGTTCTAGATCATCTAGATCTGTTAGTAAAATAAATAAATAAATTAGATTTACTTCCAGTTAAATGTAGTAAGAAGAACAATAACAATGTTTAGTAGCAGCAATAATTAGCACATACACATAAAATAATTAGAAATACAAAATAATTAGCCAAACAGTATTTAAATTGCAACTAAAATCAATTCAACCCTTGTACATTTTAAAACATTATGTTTTAAAAATAATATGGCGGCAAATAAATTAAGGTTTACAGTATTTCCGATGGTTTCCGGAACGACTCGATAGACTACGCCATGGTTTTACTGTTTTTTTTGTTTTGTTTTGTTTTTTCCTGCTGTTCAATTCCGGAATAATAACCGAAGCTATATCGTGATTTTACCCAACTTATTCTTTATACTTTAGGTAAAACCTTAGTTTAGCATTTCTAACCCATATCGAATTAATTATCCTCATATCCACATATAAACCCACGATTCCGGATCATAATATTAGATACGACCTACACTGAAGATTTTTAAAATACTATCATTTAGCGTGAATACCTCAATCGGGAAATTAGAGTTTTATTTTAATGACCGACAGTAAATACAAAATTTACTTAAGCCTTTTTTGACCTTTGGTACTTGTTTTAGAGTTCTCTCCCCTGAACCAGGATTTCCCGATTGAACCAAGTCGTCTTAGTCGAAGTTGTTTTTTTTTAACACACAAAACAACACATCGTGTACAGTTGTGATAATGTCCATGCCGTTCCCCCAAGCACACATTCAATTTGTCACACATCCCACACATTATCCACACAGAGTTTCATCTAGCCCCCCCCCCCCTCCGAAGAAAGTCTACCACCCCCACCCCCCCCCCCCCCGAACGAAATGAAAATTATCTAGAAAATATATACTTTTAACAGTTTCCGCCCCCCGAAGAAAGTCTACCGCCCCCCCCCCCCCCCCGAAAATTTTTAAGTGCCCCCCCCCCCCCCCGTAGAAAAAAAGTCTGGAAGAAACACAGTACCCACACACGACAGTAGCGCAGCAGACGTGTGTGTGTAAGGTGATCTGTTGTCAGTCTGTTTCAACTCTCTTTGTTGAAATATGTAACTGTAAACATCATTGCTGATACATTGCATTGATTTATCTCATTACAACTTGTCATGCTTTTCCCGCACTCAAGATTAAAAATGCTTTTCTATTTTCAATTTACAGCAGCAAGAATGGGATTTTGGAACATCATTATTGTACTGCTGGCCGTGTTGTCATTTTATCTCTACCAAAGCTATGTTTACAGAAGACCAACGTACAAGCACATAGACAAACTTTTGGATTCCTACGATTATATTATAGGTAAATACTTTTTGAATACGTTTTAAGATTATCCAGTTGTTTTTGGTTTTGGTTCACATTATTAACTTGTCCGCCAGTTCAGTTACATTAAACAGAGATTTGTAAATATCGCATACTAAGCCTACCCCCCCCCCCCCCCCACCACACACACACATACGCACAATCACACACACCAGAGGCGTAGCGAGGGCGGGGCGGGGGTGCGGACCGCAACGGGTGACACCATTTAGGGGGGTGACACCAAGCCAAATCGAACAGATCCTTTAGTAATTAATTACAGTTAAATAGTCTTTAAAATACAAATCGACAATTATTACAAGAGGGGGGGTGGTGGTTATACACATACATGTACCCGAATGTGGTATATATTTAAATTTTAGGCTTATGTAGGCCGACACAAACACACACACACACACACACACATATATATATAATTAGTTTCTAGGGGGGGGTGTGACACCAAGAAGTTCCGCACCGGGTGATACCCGACCTAGTGACACTGACACACACTCTCTTCTAGTGCCGTGTTCTACAATTACAGTTTACAAAGTTGAAATTATAACCCACCAAAGCTAGCGAGCAAAGTGGCCGAATATTGAGATGTACATGAAAAGTTTACCCTTTCATTTAATGCCAACGAGGCTTTCCGTTCTTAAAAAACCTGGCTAGTTCATAGACTTGTTCAGCCATTGAGAAAGCTGTATTGTAACCAATGTGTTGTTTCAGTGGGGGCGGGGACGGCTGGGTGTGTTCTCGCTGCCAGACTGTCCGAGAACAGTTCTAGAACGGTGCTGCTACTGGAGGCCGGACCCAGTGACGTCAGCCACGCCGAGGTGGACACGCCGGCCCGGGTGCCGGAAACATTCTTGAGCCGGTTCGATTGGAAGCTGTACAGCCGGCCCCAGGAGCAGGCGGCTCTCGGTCTGGAGGGTCAGGTTTGACCGGTGGTTCTCTTAGTGCAGGGGTCTCCAAACTTTTCAGAGAGAGGGCCGCATTGACTATCAAATATCAGTTCGGGGGCCAGAGTTTCTTCAGGGCATATCTTCGGTGTTATGGAGCCCTCCCCCCGAAAAACGTCTACCATCCCGCCCCCCCCCCCAATAAAATATAATTTATATAGAAATATATACACATTTCATGTGCCGCCCCCCCCCCCCCAGAGAAAAAAATCTGAAAGAAACACTGTCGGTGGCCGACAACACACTCGAGGTCCAAGTTTGCTCTCAAATTATTCTTCACGTATTCTATATTTATGGTTGAGCCCATGTGACCTTATTAAATTCGCCATCTTCACAACAGGATTCAGTACACTGCTTATTTCCATATATTTAAGTTATAATCAGCAAATGTTTTCTTTAACTCATTGAATAAATCGTCTCCGGTACCAGTGCCATACATATTATGTAGGGAAGCCAGTTCTTGTGTTATGTTCATGTCTTCATCCACACCCCTAATGAACATAAGCAGTTGAGAGGTGGAACAGCTGTCCAGCGACTCATCCATTGCAATAAAAAAAATAGTGAAACGTGCTTGCATTTTTCGCTATTTGAGTCACGATGTTTTCACCAATGTCTGCAACACGGAGGGTAATGGTATTTGCACCTAAAGCTACATATTCAAATTGTTTTGAATTATCTGGGCACAGCTCCTCAGCCACCTCTAACAGAAATTTTTTTCCGTGGACAAAAAGATCTCCGCGGGCCGGATGAGAGGACCTTGGGGGCCGCATCCGGCCCGCGGGCCGTAGTTTGGAGACCCCTGTCTTAGTGTCACGTGTCCCCCCCCCCCCTCTTTCTCTATGACCATTTTAACTCATTCTACGTCTTTTTCTTCAACCCCCCCCCCCCACCTCTACATCTGGTCACCACAGCTCATTTACATTTTTTTAAAAGCTTTAGCCTTTAACCTACGCACATTTCCCTACTCCACAACTATAGTTATAATACCCTACGGCAGACTGTCGCAATTGTTTGTTGACTTGTATATAGATGCGTTAGGGTTGCAGTGTTTCCTTCGAACATTTCACTTTGGGAAGGGGGGGGGGTTAGACAGACATAAAGCTTCCAGGGATGGGGAGGGCAAGGACACCCTTCTTATTGTATGTTTTTATTGTATTTTTTTTTTTTTTTTTTTTTTTGCCGGGGGAAGTGGTTAGGTGGGGGTTAGTGGGGTTAAGTTTAACTACTGTCAAAGGCTTTAACATACTATTGGAGAGATGGGGTAGCAGGCTCAACATCAAGTTTCTTTGCTACAACGTAAGCTGGAACCTAACTTGTGAACTTCTACCCTAGAGAATGTACATACCTCGTGGGAAGATCCTTGGTGGCACAAGTCAAATTAATTACATGCAATGGAGCCGAGGTCACAGACTAGACTTTGACAGATGGGCGGAGCAAGGATCTGAAGGGTGGAGTTATCGTGACGTACTTCCGTTTTTCATGAGATCAGAAGACGTAGTCCCAAAACATTTGGCAAACAAAGGTTGTTTTCTTTTTTTTTTTTTGCAATGTCAGCTTCTAAATTACAAATGTTAAATTTACCAGTTTATCGTATCCAAAATGTTTAATTATCCCTTTTCCAACTCATTCAACATTTTTAAAAAACCCTTCACACTTTTTGTTTTGATGTAGAATACCGAGGTTCCGATGGCCAAGTAAAGATAACCCAGTTAAATGGCTATGGTTTGGCCACAGTTTTCATTAATGCGGTTAAGTCCCTTGGTTTTCAAGAGACCGACTACAACGCGGAAACTCAAGAAGGTCTATCAGTACAATATAAATGTTTTGTGTGATTGTTGTGTTTTTTTTTTTCTCTTTGTTTTGAGTGTGTAAGTCTATTTAGTCTTGTGTACTGTTTTTTGCGTTTTGCCTTTATAGTTGTATTGAGTTTTTACAGCGCATGTTGTGTTCACAGTGTTGAATAAATTCTTACTTGATGTGTTATCTGTTGCGTATGTAAAAACGCGTAGCCTTGTGTGACCTCCTGCACGTGTTTGTCGACAGGGGTCGCTCGCACACAGAGCAACATCTACAAGGGTGAGAGGTGGAGCTCAGCACGTGCGTACCTGTGGCCTGCCGCAGACAGGGAGAATCTGCACATTGTCACCGACACACTGGTTCATAAGGTAGTGACGTCACCGACACACTGGTTCATAAGGTAGTGACGTCATCGACTAACATAAGGTATTGACGTCACCAATCAGACTGACCGAGCCGCTGGACAGTCCTACTGGGTTGTTGATGCTGGGGGCAAGTAGATTGTGACTGACTAGTATCTTAATGAAACCTATTGCGCTGCCCCTGAGTCACGTGTTGTCTTGATCGTCAGGTCCTTATAGAGCACAAGACGGCCGTGGGGGTCAGGCTGATTCGGAATTCCAGTCCGGTTGACGTCCGGTGCTCCAAGGAAGTGATTCTAGCCGCCGGAAGTTTTGGGTCACCTCAGGTGCTGATGCTGTCAGGGGTCGGACCCAGGGAACATTTAGAGTCACTGAAGGTAGGACAGTGACCCTGGGAACATTTAGAGACACTGAAGGTAGGACAGTGACCCAGGGAACATTTAGAGTCACTGAAGGTAGGGCAGTGACCCAGGGAACATTTAGAGACACTGAAGGTAGGGCAGTGACCCAGGGAACATTTAGAGTCACTGAAGGTAGGACAGTGACCCAGGGAACATTTAGAGTCACTGAGTATTGAACAGTGATTCAGGAATCGTTTAGACGCTATAAACGTAACTTGCAACTGTATTTCAGATACCTTTGGTTGCTGACCTACCGGTGGGGGAGAATCTCCAGGATCACGTGACCACCGCGCTCTCTGTGATCACCAACTCGAGCCTCGGGTCACCACGTATCACACTGTACCACCAGCTGGAGTACATGACCTTTGGAACGGGTGAGTGACCAGTCACCTGAGTCGCTAGTCATATCTGTGGTTTCACTGTCCATCTACACAAAATATATCTCACTGTACACAAAATTGACAAAACCTGTGATCTCACTGTACACAAAACCTGTGATCTCACTGTACACAAAACCTGTGATCTCACTGTCCACAAAACCTGTGATCTAATTCTCCATCTAACACAAAACCTGTGATCTAATTCTCCATCTAACACAAAACCTGTGATCTAATTCTCCATCTAACACAAAACCTGTGATCTCACTGTACACAAAACCTGTGATCTCACTGTCCATCTAACACAAAACCTGTGATCTAATTGTCCATCTAACACAAAAACTGATCTCGCTGTCCATCTAACACAAAAACTGATCCCACTGTCCATCTAACACAAAAATTGATCTCACTGTCCATCTAACACAAAACCTGTGATCTCACCGTCCATCTAACACAAAACCTGTGATCTCACCGTCCATCTAACTCAAAACCTGTGATCTCACTGTCCATCTAACACAAAACCTCTAATCTGACTGTCCATCTAACACAAACCTGTGATCTCACTGTACACAAAACCTCTAATCTCACTGTCCATTTAAAAACAAAACCTGATCTCACTGTACACAAAACCTGTGATCTCACTGTACACAAAACCTCTAATCTCACTGTCCATCTAACACAAAAACTGATCTCACTGTCCATCTAACACAAAACCTGTGATCTCACTGTCCATCTAACACAAAACCTGTGATCTTACTGTCCATCTAACACAAAAACTGATCTCACTGTCCATCTAACACAAAAACTGATCTCACTGTCCATCTAACACAAAACCTGTGATCTCACTGTACACAAAACCTCTAATCTCACTGTCCATCTAACACAAAAACTTATCTCACTTTCCATCTGACACAAAAACTGATCTCACTGTCCATCTAACACAAAACCTGTGATCTCACTGTCCATCTAACACAAAACCTGTGATCTCACTGTCCATCTAACACAAAAACTGATCTCACTGTCCATCTAACACAAAAGCTGTGATCTCACTGTCCATCTAACACAAAAACTGATCTCACTGTCCATCTAACACAAAACCTGTGATCTCACTGTCCATCTAACACAAAACCTGTGATCTCACTGTCCATCTAACACAAAAACTGATCTCACTGTCCATCTAACACAAAACCTGTGATCTCACTGTCCATCTAACACAAAAACTGATCTCACTGTCCATCTAACACAAAACCTGTGATCTCACTGTCCATCTAACACAAAACCTGTAATCTCACTGTCCATCTAACACAAAAACTGATCTCACTGTCCATCTAACTTAAAAAGTGATCTCATTGTCCATCTGACAAAAAACCTGTGATCCCACTGTCCATCTAACACAAAAACTAATTTCACCGTCCATCTAACGCAAAAACTGATCCCACTGTCCATCTAACACAAAAACTGATCTCACTGTCCATCTAACACAAAACCTGATCGCACTGTCCATCTAACACAAAAACTGATCCCACTGTCCATCTAACTCAAAACCTGTGATCTCACTGTACACAAAACATGTAATCTCACTGTCCATCTAACACAAAACCTGTGATCTCACCGTCCATCTAACTCAAAACCTGTGATCTCACTGTACACAAAACATGTAATCTCACTGTCCATCTAACACAAACCTGTGATCTCACTGTACACAAAACCTCTAATCTCACTGTCCATCTAACACAAACCTGTGATCTCACTGTACACAAAACCTCTAATCTCACTGTCCACTTAAAAACAAAACCTGATCTCACTGTACACAAAACCTGTGATCTCACTGTACACAAAACCTCTAATCTCACTGTCCATCTAACACAAAACCTGTGATCTCACCGTCCATCTAACACAAAACCTGTGATCTCACCGTCCATCTAACTCAAAACCTGTGATCTCACTGTCCATCTAACACAAAACCTCTAATCTGACTGTCCATCTAACACAAACCTGTGATCTCACTGTACACAAAACCTCTAATCTCACTGTCCATTTAAAAACAAAACCTGATCTCACTGTACACAAAACCTGTGATCTCACTGTACACAAAACCTCTAATCTCACTGTCCATCTAACACAAAAACTGATCTCACTGTCCATCTAACACAAAACCTGTGATCTCACTGTCCATCTAACACAAAACCTGTGATCTTACTGTCCATCTAACACAAAAACTGATCTCACTGTCCATCTAACACAAAAACTGATCTCACTGTCCATCTAACACAAAACCTGTGATCACTGTACACAAAACCTCTAATCTCACTGTCCATCTAACACAAAAACTTATCTCACTGTCCATCTGACACAAAAACTGATCTCACTGTCCATCTAACACAAAACCTGTGATCTCACTGTCCATCTAACACAAAACCTGTGATCTCACTGTACACAAAACCTGTGATCTCACTGTACACAAAACATGTAATCTCGCTGTCCATCTAACACAAAAACTGATCCCACTGTCCATCTAACACAAAAACTTATCTCACTGTCCATCTGACACAAAAACTGATCTCACTGTCCATCTAACACAAAAACTGATCTCACTGTCCATCTAACACAAAAACTGTGATCTCACTGTCCATCTAACACAAAAACTGATCTCACTGTCCATCTGACACAAAACCTGTGATCTCACTGTCCATCTAACTCAAAACCTGTGATCTCACTGTCCATCTAACACAAAAACTGATCTCACTGTCCATCTAACACAAAAACTGATCTCACTGTCCATCTAACACAAAACCTGTGATCTCACTGTCCATCTAACACAAAAACTGATCTCACTGTCCATCTAACACAAAAACTGATCTCACTGTCCATCTGACAAAAAACCTGTGATCCCACTGTCCATCTAACACAAAAACTGATCTCACTGTCCATCTAACACAAAAACTGATCTCACTGTCCATCTAACACAAAAACTGATCTCACTGTCCATCTAACACAAAAACTGATCTCACTGTCCATCTAACACAAAAACTGATCTCATTGTCCATCTGACAAAAAACCTGTGATCTCACTGTCCATCTGACACAAAACCTGTGATCTCACTGTCCATCTGACACAAAACCTGTGATCTCACTGTCCATCTAACACAAAACCTGTGATCTCACTGTCAATCTAACACAAAAACTGATCTCACTGTCCATCTAACACAAAACCTGTGATCTCACTGTCCATCTGACACAAAAACTGATCTCACTGTCCATCTAACACAAAAACTGATCTCACTGTCCATCTAACTCAAAACCTGTGATCTCACTGTCCATCTAACTCAAAACCTGTGATCTCACTGTCCATCTAACTCAAAACCTGATCCCACTGTACACAAAACCTGTGATCTCACTGTACACAAAACCTGTGATCTCACTGTACACAAAACCTGTTATCTCACTGTACACAAAACCTGTGATCTCACTGTAAAAAAACCATGTGATCTCACTGTACACAAAGCCTGTGATCTCACTGTACACAAAACCTGTGATCCCACTGTACACAAAACCTGTGATCCCACTGTACACAAAACCTGTGATCTCACTGTACACATTACCTGTGATCTCACTGTACACAATACCTGTGATTCTCCAGGTCCCCTGAGTTTACCAGGTGGGAATGACGTCATCGCTTACCTGAAAACTCTACCTCACCTGCAGCAGCCCGATATACAGTTTACCTTGGTGGAGCAGCTGATGGACAAGAAGTTCATGAAGGTCATGCCCGGCTTAAGCTCCGAGGTACCCACGTGACGTGATCTGTCTGTCGTGCTACACATGTGCTTCACAGTTGTTGTCGTTTCATTGTAACACATGTGCTTTACAGCTGTTTTCGTTTCAATGTAAAACATGTGCTTCACAGCTGTTTTCGTTTCCTTGTAACACGTGTGTCACAGCCTTTTTATATGACTGGGTTCATGGCACAAACTAAAGGCAAATACAAACCACATTATTGGTGATTTTACAGTCTTTTATTGATATCAGATAATATAGCAGCTACACTACTAGAACTACGACTTCAGTTTCGTCATCTCCTCGCGCTCTCTCTACCTCTCTCTGCTTTCTTTCCTTAGCGCACGCGCACATCCATCCTATATTTTATATTCATATCGCCTTTTTAAGATACACACTCGAAACATACATTCATCTACATTTAACTGTTACATACGCCCTTTCTCCCGTTTAAAAAAATTAATTCAATTTTTTTTCTTATATACATCACATTCACTATAAAATCTTAATTATACATGTATATTTCGATCGCAAGATTGGATTGGAAAAACAGACAGAGAAAGCAAGTTAAAGAAAACGTGGGAATACATGACAAAATGCAAAGCGTCACTTATTTTATAAGTGTCGCCATTAAGAAAAATTGTAACTACGGTAAACCTTCTTAGTTAATAATAACAAATGATTCTAACTAAGGAACATCTCTTCTTAGTGTAACAAAAAATATCATTAAACCTCACTAAGTAATATTACCTCTTAGTGTATCTCAAAATAAATCTAACTAAGGAAAACTCTCTCTTAGTAGAACAAAATTATAGCTATGCAATAGCTCCCATGGGCAAATCATATCCTTGATTTCCCTAGTTCAATGGCTGAGGTGAACTCCTCATCATAACATATGTAACTTACCACATCTGTCAACTCATACTGCCATAATCATGTTCATTACTTAACAAGATATACAGTATACATACAAATCACAGAAATACAACAAAATGTATGTTCATTTTCATTACTAAATTAAAATAGTGGTAAAACATATTTATACAGGTCATGTTATGACTTATTCCTATCTTTCTCACATTTTTAAAATGTTAATTTTCTCTGGAAGTAGATATCACATACTACATTATTCAAAATTTCCTTATAAGGATTGGCTGATATGTCTCAGGTCATTATTTTCTTTAGTCAGTTCCATGTTTGTTTTTTCATCTTCAATCTGTCTTGATAAGAAATCAGCTAGTGTATTGTGCTGTCCCTTTACTGTTTTTATCTCGAACTTGAAATGTAATAAAATCAGTGCCCATCTATTTGTTTTGCTATTCATTATCATTTTCTTATTGATTGTGATCAATGGCTTATGATCTATTCTAAGAGCAGTGTCTTCCCAATAAATACTTCTGTAATTTACTCAATGCCCACACAATTGCTAGGCACTCTCTCTCAATCACTGCATATCTTTGTTCCTTTGGTGATAATGCCCTTCTGAGGTATTGTACTGGGTATAGTTTATTACCCTTTTCTTACATTAAGCAAGCTCCTAACGCTGTATTTGATGCATCAGTAAAAAGAGTGAAATGCTTACTAAAATCTGGTGACATCAGTACCTTGTCACTCATGAATTCAGCCATTATTTTATTTAAAGCACTTTCACATTCCTGTGTCCATACTAGTTTAACTTTGTCTTTGGATAGCAATTCTCTTAAAAGAGTAGTAATTTCAGCATATTTATCTACAAAAATATTATAAAAATTGCATAGTCCCAACAAAGATTTCACTTCTTTCTTTGTACTAGGAGTTTGATATTTAATATTTTGTCCCTATTTCCTTCATTAGGTCTAATTTCTTTATTTCCAACCTTAAATCCTAAGAATTCTACTGTATCCACTCCCACATGCAGTTTCTCTGGTGCTATGGTAACCCCATGTTTTCTAAGTCTTTCTAGTAGTTCTTTTAGTGTTTCTATGTGTTCTGCCCATGTGCTAGTATGTATGCATATATCATCAACAAAGAAGACCAGGTTTTTCATTCCCTCTGTCATTTTATTCATGAATTTTTGGAACGTGGCTGTACTGTTCACAAGTCAGAACGGCATCACCTTCCATTGACATAGACCTTTGCTTGATGTAAAGGCGGTGTATTGTCTTGACTCCTTTTCCAGTCCTATTTGCCAGAAGCCTCTGTTCAAATCACAAGTGGTGAAAATTGAGGATTTACTAATAGTTTCCAAAATGTCTTTAGGATCATTCATTGGTTCAGCATCTATCTTAGTCCTTTTATTCAACTCTCGATAGTCACAACATATCCTTACTTTGTTGTTCTTTTTTCTTACTATCACCATGGGTGATGAGTATGCTGATTCTGTTCTTTGTATTTGCCCAGACTCAAGTAGCCAATCCAGTTCTGCTTCAACAGCTTCTCTATTAGCAACTGGTACTTGGTAATGCTTCCCTTTCATAGCACTATAATCAGTCAATTCTATTTTGTGTTGAATTGTTTCAGTAAAACCCATTTCTGTTGTAATCACATCCTTGTACTCATTTACTATTTTGTCTATTATGTTTTTCTCATTCACTGGTATATGATTAGTCTTAATTTCCTGTGTATTACAGCTTTCACTTATTATAGTACAGGCCATATGTTCCTCTTCTATCAGTTTCTCTGGCTCTACATATTATTTCTTTATTCTGTCTATGTGTATAGGAGTGTTATTTCCCTTTATGTTTATTTCATAATTTACATCAGATAGTTTCTTGATTACTTCAAAAGGTCCTTGAAATACTTCTATGTTTTTTTTCTGTCTGGCAGTTTGACAAAAACTAAATCTCCTCTTTCAAAAGTTCTTAAATATCTATTTTTGTTTTTTATATTTCTGTGCCTTTCACTGGCTAACTGTGCATTCTTTTGGGCTGTCTGGACACCATAAACTATTCTCTCTCTAGTCTGGTTTACTAGTTCATGAGGATCAAATTCCTCTTCATGTCCACTATAATGTCTTTGTCTGTAATAATTACGTTGATTTTTGTAATTATTATTAGGTGCATAACCTCCTCTGTCATTATTGCTGAGATATGTATCTCTATTTTGTAAGCTGAAACACTCAGACTTTACATGGCCTGTTTTCTATGCTTCTGCTATATTTATATCTGTCTGGTTTCCATCTGGTAGGTGCACTATTACTTCTATCTCTATTGTTGTTGCCATACCTTCTTTGATCACTGCCAGAGTTTCTACTGTAGACTGCTGCTGAAATATCTCCCTGCTCTCTTTTGTCCAAAATAGCCCCTGGATGTGCATCCTTATAAATATTAAGTTGCTCTATTAATTGTTTCTGTGTCCTAACTTTTCTTTCACTCAAAAAAGAGAATAAACTATCTGTTGCATTATTTAAAACATGATCTATCAAGTTAATTTTAATAATTGCCTCAGGATTCTTTAAATCTATTTCTGCCAATTCTAGTCTTTTATTCATGTATTTGCGAATATCAAAAATGATCTGGTTTATGTCACCAGTGTTGTTAATTCTGGTGTCTCGTATAGTCTTTCTGTAATAGTCTTCTGTCTTTCCAAAATGTTTCATCAATCTTTCTTTTACTAGGCCATAGTCTTCTTTTTCAGCCTCAGACATACTTGCTATTATGGCAATAGTCTCTCCTGTCAAATTAGTCAATAAAGCCTGTGCCTTCCCAGCAGATGAATAATTAAAACTCTTACATGTTTGCTCAAAGAGTATTAAGTAAGTTTCCACACTTTCTTCCTGTGGTTTAAATGCTCTGAATTTAGGCTTCCGATTGTCCGTTTTGTTAACATTGCTGTCTGTGAGATTGGTTACTTTTAATTTTAGCTAATTCTAATTCATGTTGCCTCTGTTTTTCTCTATCTTCTAATTGTCTCTGTTTTTCTTAGTCTTCGGCCTCTATTTTAACTTTTTCTTTCTCAGCCTCCATTTTAATCTTTTCCTTCTCAGCCTCTATTTTAGCTAGATCTAGTTCCTTATCAGCCTCTATTTTAGCTTTAGCTAATTCCCTCTCTAAAGCTCTGTCTTCCCTTTCAATTGCATCAGCTATCTTCTTTTCAACCCATTTAGCCTTTTCTGCCCCAGTGTATCCTAACGAATCAGCAAACTCAATAAATTTGGCATAGTCATCCATCTTAATGGTCCAAGAAAAGTTATTCAGTTACTAAAATAAAATGTCAACAATACTAAATCTAGATCGTATTCTTTCCTTTACGGTGCGGAGCACCGCTCACTTCTGACACCAAATTGTCACAGCCGTTTTATATGACTGGGTTCATGGCACAAACTAAAGGCAAATACAAACCACATTATTGGTGATTTTACAGTCTTTTATTGATATCAGATAATATAGCAGCTACACTACTAGAACTACGACTTCAGTTTCGTCATCTCCTCGCGCTCTCTCTACCTCTCTCTGCTTCCTTTCCTTAGCGCATGCGCACATCCATCCTATATTTTATATTCATATCGCCTTTTTAAGATACACACTCGAAACATACATTCATCTACATTTAACTGTTACAACGTGCTTCACAGCTGTTTTCGTTTCCTTGTTACACGGCCTCTTGTTCTCCAGCTCCTCCACAGCTGGAGGCTCCAGGAGCAGGGCCAGGGGTTCCTGGTCCTGGTGTGCCTGCTCCGACCCAAGAGCCGGGGTTCTGTCCGGCTCCGTTCGTCTGACCCACTGGACTCTCCGGTCATCGACCCCAACTTTTTCAGTGACCCTCAGGACCTGGATGACCTCGTTAGAGGTGAGATGACCTTGACATATGATAGATGACATTGACGTGGGGTAGATGACCTTGACATAAACAAGAAGACCTTGACACAAAATAGTACTTCGAAAATTGAAAAATACAGAAGAGATCTAACCTCCAAGACAGTGAACCGATCCTGATGGATCATGGACAGGAAACTTTGATAGGTTGAAGGTCATCCTGACATTCTGTCCTTGACTTGTGCAAGATTATCTTGACATTGGTAAAGATATGGTGTGAGGGTAAGAAGACAGTTTTAGGACATGACAATGGATGAACATGGCACGCTTCACAATATAACATCCTCCCCCTTCTCGTGTTCTCCAACTGCCCCAGGTGTGCGACTCGCCCAGAAGATCGTGGACACCGAACCACTGAGACAGCTGGGGGCGGTCATTGACCCCGCCCCACTGCCCAGCTGTGTCAGCCATCTTTACAACAGCGACAGTTACTGGAACTGTTTCAACCGTCAACTAGCCTCTACTTGTGAGCCTTTGGGGCGGGGGTGAGATCTAATCCTTACCTTAAATATACAGTTTACGATAGAAATGTCCTGAAATCCAAGGCTTATCTCCAGGTAAAAACCTTAGATTAGACCAAAACCTTCATCTCTCACCGATATAAAAATGTGCTGACATTTCCAACAGCTCACCACCCCGCCGGCACGTGCAAGATGGGCGCCACTGATGACGTCACAACAGTAGTGGACAACAGATTAAGGTACAAAAAATGTTAGGGGACCAACTTAAAGACAATCACGTGACCCAAATCACAGGGAACAAGCTTAAAGCCGTTGTGTTAAATATTTAAAAGTTAATCTCTGATTTTACGATTTCCTGGAATTGAAAGTTTCCCGCCGTCTGCTCTCCCCACAGGGTGAAGGGTGTGAGGAACCTCCGTGTAGCAGACGCCTCTATCATGCCGGACGTCGTGTCGGCCAACACAAACGCCGCAACCTTCATGATAGGCGAGAAGGCAGCGGACATGATACTCAATGACGGGAAGTAAAAAGTTGACCAAAACATCGTGTTTGCAGAGGCGTAGGAACCCTTCCCGGCGCCCGGGGACAAACTTTTCGATTTGCACCCCCACCCCTCAAACTTTCGATTTGCGCCTCCCCCTCAAGGTTTTTTATTTCAATTTATTTTTCCAACCCATTTTGGCGCCCCCTAAGGTCGGCGCCCGTGGACATATGCCCCCCCCCCCCCCCGCCCCCCTCGCTACGCTACTGGTTTGTTGTTGCTTGAAATCCCACAGGAACGGGAAATATAACTTTGCCCATGTTATTCGTGTTTGTTGTTTCTTGAATGAAATCCTATTTGACTTGTATCAACGGGGACAGGAAATAAAAAGTTGACCATGGTACCGTGTTTGTTGTTGCTCTGTTCTTGTCCACGAGACTTGAATGCAAGGCGCCGTCATGTAGAGTGCTTGGTCGTGTCGGTATAAATCAATACATGGCTCCATGGTCCGAGAGACGGTTATGATTGAGTCTTGCATCACAAGTCTGAGAGACGGTTATGATTGAGTCTTGCATCACGAGTCTGAGAGACGGTTATGATTGAGTCTTGCATCACGAGTCTGAGAGACGGTTATGATTGAGTCTTGCATCACGAGTCTGAGAGACGGTTATGATTGAGTCTTGCATGACGAGGTGCAACTCCCAGGCAGCGAGTTGAGAACAGTCTGGTGTTGCCAATGTAGCGGTACAAGGGGAGGTCAAAGGAAGATGAAGGTCAAGAGGAGGGGGAGGTCAAGGGAAGGTGAAGCTTGTGTCACTGGCCGACGGATATTGTTTTGAAAGCAGTTCAATTGTCGAAATTAGGTCAAGGTCCAGTACTTCAACAAGTCCGATAGTCAGAACGGAAAGTTCACTTGGATCAAATACATTATGGTCTTTCTTATGTCGTGGATAGAGGCAGATAAACTCTACTGCACCTGTCTCATCCTAGTTAGCTTTTCACTACCTTAGTCTGTATATAAGGCCTAGCTCAGGATTATGGCCATTCTGCAAAAAGGCCGTACCTACATTCATTTATACAGGAGTAATTTTATAAATTTTAATAAAACGGGAGTGATCTCCCCTAAACTTTCTCGAATATTCTTATATAAAACGAGAAAAATGGCCCGTTGAGGAAGGATACAACGGGCGCTAGGCTGATAGTGCTGTCTCTTTTCTCTAAACTAAAACCACCCCCCCACCCCCCCACACACACACCACCCCTCACCCTCCCCCCCCCACAAACACCACCCCCACCCCTACCCCCCCCCCCCCCCACACACACACACCCCCCACACACCACACCCCCCCCCCCCCCCCACTGGTGTCGCGCTTAGCCACTACCCGAAAAATTGCATTAAAGAAATTGCGAGAAAACCACTTTTTAGATTAGACACATTCTTACGCGGGGGTGGGGCTTCGCCCCTACCCGAAGAATTGTATGAAAGAATTGTATATAAGAAACTCTTCACGCAAACCACTTAGACTAGACAAAATTTCCTTTTTATTCAATGTTTACTCGAGAATCAATGACGTCATATTACTGCGTGCACTCTCCGGCTTGCTCTAAGCTAAATGTGACCGCGTCATACTTCGTTTTTCGAATTACTGTGAAGGTTTTTAATTTGCTTGTGTTTTCTCTAGAGCGTTCTTGTCAGACAGATAGATAGATAGATACATAGAGAGACAGCGAAACTATTATTATAGACGAGAAAAATGGCCCGTTGAGGAAGGATACACCGGGCGCTAGGTTGATAGTGCTGTCTCTTTTCTCTAAACTAAAACCAACCCCCCCCCCCAACACCCCCCCCCCACCCCCCAAAAAAAACATGTCTACCGTCCCATTCAACGAAATATAATTATATACTTTTTCCAGTGTCCGCCCCCTCCCCGAAAATTCTACCCCCGCCCCCGAAAATTTCAAGTACCCCCACCCCTCTCCGGGGAGGAAAAAGTCTGAAAGAAACACTGGTGTCGCGCTTAGTCACTACCCGAAGAATTGCACTTTTAGAATTGCACAGACAGCGAAACTATTAGTATTAATAACAGGGGATGGGAACTCGGGCTATAGACATGATTTTTAATCCATTTTAAATACTTAAAGTTTTAAAAATAGAATAAAATCTCGTAGACAAATTAATTGCACACCAAGTGAACGCCAAATAAGAAAGTGCATAATAGTGCGCAATATTATTAGTACTTTAAAAATTTACATTTCTTTTTTGAGAAATCGGAAGTAGCGTAAATTACTACTTCCGGTCAACGGAAATTACTCAAAATTTAACAGAAGGTAGATAATTATATCTTTTACTTACATGTGAATTTCATTTATCTATCTGAAATAGTACTCAAGTTATAGGCTTTTGAAAAATTGAAAGTAGGAAAAGTACCACATCCGGTTATCGGAAATCGCTTAAAAGTTGATACGGATCTACGATTTTGATAAAATACTTATATATGATATTTCATCAACCTAGCTGTAACGGTACTAAAGTTATCTTGTTTACACACGGACACACACACACACAGACAGACAGACAGACATACGGTCAAAATTGCAAAATTATGTTTTTCCGTATCAGTGAGGTGTAAAACGTCGAGATTTGTAAAAAATCTCGATTTTTTAATTTTTTTTTTGCACGATTGCAAGACTTTCTCTATACTTCGTATATACGAGAAAGTAAAAAGTCTAATGCCGCGATTTGTCAGCTCCAGTCATTTGAGCTGGCCCTAAAAAAAGTTGCCGATCAACGCGCTGTGTTGCACCGTCGCTAAACGGACCTAGTGGGTGCCCAAAGGTTCATTGAATGGAGCATGTTTACCTCAACATGATTGTAGTTTGTTTTTCGAGCTTTGTGTCCCGTTGGTTACCCACTAGAATGCCAGTTTTCTTCTAATCTAACTAGTAATGATTGTCAAATTCTAAACTTTGAAACGTTTAAGTACAAATCATATGGTTTATCGTTTTATCACATCTTTTAGAAAAGTAGTCTTGTCTATATCTTTTTACGTTAAGCTTATCCAAAAGAGTAACTTCGTAAATATTTAGATCTAGATCTAGACTAGATTCTAGATCTAGATTATATCTGGATCTAGAGTAATCTAGACTCTAGACATCGATCTATATAATTATAAATATAATAAACCCTAAACCTAACTTTGGCCCTAAACAAATTTATCCTTACCTAATTTCGTTATCTAAAAACCGCGGCATAACGATACAGAACCGTATCGAGATTTGTTTGTCGGTATCGCCGTTTGAGTCGTGGCTAGGATTAAGGTTCAGGCTAATGTTAGGGTAGCGATACTACCAAGATTCGAATACGTACTGCTGATGTAGCCCTAAACAAGGTTCTGGTGTGGACTTCCTGTTGATGTCACACAATACAAACCCGAGAACACGTTAGTGCTGTTTGGTCAATTATGCGAACAGCCTCTAAGTTATATCGTCTGCATAAGACTAATTTAACATACAGACACACTTGTTAATCTATTCAGGCCTCTTGACTATGAGGTGGGGGGGGGGGGGGGTATTGCTTATGACGTGGGTCAACCGGGTCACATGGGTCAAGAGGGTCATGTGGGTCCATCTCGACATATATATATATATATATATATATATATATATATATATATATATATATATATATATATATATATATATATATATATATAAATTTATATAGAAAATTTATACTTTAACCAGTGCCCACCCCCGAAAATCTTAAATCTCCCCCCCCCCCCCACAGAGAAATAAAAGAGAAAGAAACCCTGTGTATGATATTGCTTGACATCAGTTATCCCCCCTCTCCCAGAACGACCCGAAGAACTTGAAACCGCCGCGAGAATGGATTTGCTCAAGACGGAAGCGTGTCAGGAAATAGATAAACATGCACAGGACCTCGGCAGTCTGGCCACCAAAATCTGGAACCTAGCAGAGCCTGGGGGTAAGGTGAGTGGTGGGCGGGAGGGGTCGAGGGGTGGGTCAGGGGGTCGGGTCACGTTCTAGGGGTCCTTCACTAGAAGCTATATTTCTGTCAGCCGTTTATTTTACTGGTGGGCCATGTTGCAGGGGCATTTTTTTTCACCGGGGTCCTTCTGTTGGGAGCCATTTTGTCGGCATACATTTGGTCGATAGCCTTTTTATTAGGTGTTTTGGGGATGTTTAGCATGTGCCTTATCTCCATCCGTTTATAGCCCCTTCCCTTCCTCCCTGCCTTCTCCTCCCCTCCAGGAAGTGAAGAGTGCCGAAGCAATTATCGGATTCCTCGTGGCCCACGAGTTTGTTGTGACGAAGAACTACCGCGGGATGCCCACGGCGTTCCGGGCGGAATTCGGCGAGAGCGAGTATGGCGGCCGGAAGCGGCCCAACGTCTGCTTTGTGTGCAGGTATGACGCCAACAAGAAGAAAGGTCACGTGAACGGAAACAACCTCGGTACGCAGGTGGCTGTGGCCGCTGCCCTTGGTCTCAAGGCCGTCATCCGAGCGTCGTCTGCTGGCATTGGGAAGGTCAGTGACGTAGTACACAGTACACATGAATACATTAAAAGTCCAGGTTGACCATTGAGTTTATTAAAGCATGACTTTCAATACAGTTCACACCTAGGAAACACAAACAGTGTTAGTTCAAAGTTAGACTCACGATAATATCCACATGAATAACATTTACAGTTACTCTGTATACAAATCTGTAACTATTTAGTTTAGGCATTTACAATATTAACATTTAAGCATTCGAATACAAATACAGCAAAATTATCTTGGTTGATGAAATTAATTTGAATTGCAAAGGCTTCTTTTTTCTTTTAACTAAACCTGTTCTTTAGATAAAACAATTTAAAGCTAAGCTATATCTGATATCATTGTTTGTATTGCGTGATGATACTAACTAATGTTAGTATCACTTCCTATATATATTGTGTGATGTCAATTGATGTTTGAGTCACTTCACGTATACGTTGAGTGATTTCACTTTTTACGTTAACCTCACGTCTTGCGTGTACTGTGTGACGTCATTTTCTGGTGCTAGCGTCACCTCCTGTATACATTATGTGAAGTCCCCTGCTGATATCCTTTACTGTGCCAGGTGACCCTGCTGGGCTGCCCCAACTCTGCCAAGGGCTGGCTCATCAAGATGCTCAACCGGAAGGCGTTTCTCGACATCGACGTCGTCTTGTCTGCGGCACCCGGCGACCGGACCGAGTGGAACCCGACATACGTCGCCTCGAAGACGTGAGTCTGGCCTGCTCTCTCTTCCCTACTTTACTCCCTGCTCTCTTACCATCTGTCCATTCCATTCTTGCTCTCCATTGTCTCCTTTGCTCTCCATTGCCTCCCCGCTCTCTCCCCATCACCTATGTCACGTGATCTTGTGTGTGGCGTGCAGATACCGAGCCACGTACACAGGTTCCCTGGGGAACATGGAGGGTGACAACATCATCCCGGGAACCTCGGCGCTAGACGGCGCTGTGTACGCTTACTCCAACATCCTGGCAATGAAGGAACACTTTGGGCCGGGTTGGCAGGCAGAAGGTGAGACTTGTGGGGTCAGTTTGTGTGGGGTGAGACTTTTGTGGTCAGTTTGTGTGGGGTGAGACCTGTGTGGTCAGTTTGTGTGGGGTCAGACCTGTGTGGTCAGTTTGTGTGGGGTCAGACCTGTGTGGTCAGTTTGTGTGAGACCTGTGGGGTCAGTTTGTGGGGGGTGAGACCTGTGTGGTCAGTTTGTGTGGGGTCAGACCTGTGTGGTCAGTTTGTGTGGGGTGAGACCTGTGTGGTCAGTTTGTGTGAGACCTGTGTGGTCAGTTTGTGTGGGGTCAGACTTGTGGGGCCAGTTTGTGTGGGGTGAGACTTGTGGGGCCAGTTTGTGTGGGGTGAGACCTGTGTGGTCAGTTTGTGTGGGGTGAGACCTGTGTGGTCAGTTTGTGTGGGGTGAGACATGTGTGGTCAGTTTGTGTGGGGTGAAACCTGTGTGGTCAGTTTGTGTGAGGTGAGACGTGTGTGGTTTGTGTGAGACCTGTGTGCTCAGCCTGTGGCGAGACCTATGTTGTCATTATGGTCACACTTTACTCACTTCTTCTCTTTCTACCATTGTTGCTTGCCTTAACACCTTATAGCCGAGAACACACTGCGCCAACCAACTCTATTAATAGAAATATTTATTTACACCCAGTCATGTCAATCCAGACTCTCCAACCCAACAGATCTTTTCTCTAATACAGTTTTAACATCAGCAATAGCACGGCCATCAAGTGACAGGATTTATTTTTATCCCCGCCCCCACCACAGGCGTCATCTCGAGGGGTGGCCACAGCATGTACGTGGTCCCCACCCAGTGCGAGACCACGGTCAAGATCACTGGACCCACCGACAGGGACCTGGCCCTGCTGGAGAGGCGGGTACTTCCGTGTTTTGATGCGGCTGCGCAGTCGAGCGGATGTGAGGTAAGCGGACCATATGGCATGTACCTTATTTTATATGTCAAGTACCACATGTCAAATACCATATGTCATGTCGACCCACCTGACCCACGTGACATTATTGACCCTGTTGACCCACGTGACCCTGTTGACCCACGTGACCCTGTTGACCCACGTGACCCTGTTGACCCACGTGACCCTGTTGACCCACGTGACCCTGTTGACCCACGTGACCCTGTTGACCCCGTGACCCTGTTGACCCCCGTGACCCTGTTGACCCACGTGACCCTGTTGACCCACGTGACCCTGTTGACCCACGTGACCCTGTTGACCCACGTGACCCTGTTGACCCACGTGACCCTGTTGACCCCCGTGACCCTGTTGACCCCCGTGACCCTGTTGACCCCCGTGACCCTGTTGACCCACGTGACCCTGTTGACCCCGTGACCCTGTTGACCCCTGTCCTTCAGCTGGAGCTCGTCCTGGGCGACAAGAGCTACCGCGGGATGATCAACAACACGACCCTGGTCTACATGATGCAGATCAACGCCTACTACTGCGGCATCCTGGCCACGCCCCTCAAGAAGAAGAAAATCATGAGTTCCGTCGACATCGCCAACGTCAGCCGGATTTTGCCGGCCGTCCGGCCCATCTTCTACATCGGCACTGACGCTGAGATTGGAACAGATGAGTTCAAGATGGCCGCCAGTATGTTCAAAGTTTTTTTCATTGCTGCTTCATTTATTTTAAATATTGCCAATTAAGCTATAGACATTTAAAAAAAAAAAAGATTAATATGTAACATTTCAAATGTAAATTTAAGAAGTCAAAAGTCGTTTGGTTACCATCAGTGGCTTGTGCTCAGCAAAGAGCGAGAAAAAACAGCTTTGCTTCAGCCGTGGAGCACATATCTCAACAAATAAGAAACATATTAACTCACAGTCGTTGTGTTCCCCAGACACCGCCCACTGGTATCCCAGACACCACCCACTAGTACACTATTAACCTTCAACCGTTGTATTCCCAGGAACAGACACCGCCCACTGGTACCCCAGAAACCGCCCACTGTATCCAAGACACCACCCACTAATAATATCCTCCAACCGTTGCATCCCCAGACACAGAGAACGCCCACTGGTATCCAAGACACCGCCCACTATTATCCTCCAACCATTGTATCCCCAGACACAGAGAACGCCCACTGATACCCCAGACACCGCCCACTAGTAATATCCTCCAACCGTTGTATCCCCAGACACAGAGAACGCCCACTAGTACCCCAGAAACCGCCCACTAGTACACTAATATCCTCCAACCGTTGTATCCTCAGACACAGAGAACGCCCACTGGTACCCAAGACACCGCCCACTAGTAATATCCTCCAACCGTTGCATCCCCAGACCCAGAGAACGCCCACTGGTACCCCAGACACCGCCCACTAGTAATATCCTCCAACCGCTGTATCCCCAGACACAGAGAACGCCCACTGGTACTTAGACACCGCCCACTAGTAATATCCTCCAACCGCTGTATCCCCAGACACAGAGAACGCCCACTGATACCCCAGACACCGCCCACTAGTAATATCCTCCAACCGTTGTATCCCCAGACACAGAGAACGCCCACTGATACCCCCAGACACCGCCCACTGTACCCCAGACACCGCCCACTAGTAATATCCTCCAACCGTTGTATCCCCAGACACAGAGAACGCCCACTGGTACGCTAACAGTATGGGCAAGACCCTGGCCCTGACGGCCATTGACTTCCTGCAGACGCCGCTGACCATGTTCAACTGCAAGCAGGACCTGGTGAACCGGCTCAAGCAGGAGAAGGAGGAGACAACTTTCATGATGTTCCCGGTCAACCAGGTGGCCAACCTCTCCCTGGCCACAGCACTTCCGGCAGACTCCAACACCGGCTGGTCGAGGTTAATGTGAGGTTTGAGCAGGAACCAATTACAACAGATTGAAAGCCTCTGCCAAGTTATCGCCCCTGTCTCTATAAAGTGTACTGTCTGCACCGGAAGTAATTAAATCTATGATTGTACTCACGCATTTTTTAAGAAAAATATTTGTATTAGTTTTTTAAAAAATATTTTAAAATGTTATTTAATTATATACGTTTTAAACTAAATTGATACATATTTGTTTTAATCAACAAAATTAAGTTTAACTAAAATTTGAAAAAGGAGATTTTACGGTTTTTTTAAAGCAGGGAAATAGTTGAGAAAAAAGTAATAATTCTGGAGAGGAAAGATTAAAATGTAGTCTTTTTAAAATGCTTGTTAGCTTTGTAATTACAACTGAATATGATGGACAAAAAAGGAAATATTTATCTCACTAGTAAATTGTAAACTAGCAGTTTCTTCTTTTTTTTGTTTTGTTTCTTATACGCTGGGTAAAATGAAAACAATTAAACATTATCCTCACTTTACATCACATCCGGTCAGTGTTAGTGGAACTCTTTTGCTGAAGCTTTAATTTTTCAATTTCAATAAACTTTTTATTTGAAGGGAAGTAACGCTTATCGGTGTTAATATCTGAATAAAAACATCGATTATCTCCCTTTCCCCAAAATTTGTCGTGATGTTTATTTAATGATCAAAATAGCGTTGACAAACCTTGAAAAACAGTGACGTTGGAGGATAACGCAATGTGATATACTACAATACTTGTGTGAGTGATGGTGAGACAAAGTACACAGTGAGTGTCAGTGAGTGATGGTTCCTACAGTACTTGTGTGAATGCTGGTGAGACAAAGTACACAGTGAGTGTTAGTGATTGTCTCGAAACACGAACCAATAAGCTAACGAAACTGGAACACTAGAAGCCTCAAAACACTGAGTTATAAAGCCGCAGAACACGAACATATGGTGCCTCGAACTACGAACACATCATATCTCGTGTTTCACATGAGAATAGTTGGCTGACTTTCTAGCTGACCATGTAGCTGACCTTCTGGCTGACATTGCAGCTGACCGTGTAGCTGAATGTGTAGCTGACCTTCCAGCCGACCTTGTAACTGACCTTGTAACTGACCTTGTAGCTGACCTTTTAGCTGACCTTGTAGCTGACCTTTTAGCTGACCTTTTAGCTGACCATGTAGCTGACCTTGTAACTGACCTTGTAGATGACCTTGTAGCTGACCTTGTAGCTGACCTTTTAGCTGACCTTTTAGCTGACCGTGTAGCTGACCTTTTAGCTGACCGTGTAGCTGACCTTTTAGCTGACCTTGTAGCTGACCTTTTAGCTGACCATGTAGCTGACCTTCTGGCTGACATTGCAGCTGACCGTGTAGCTGAATGTGTAGCTGACCTTCCAGCCGACCTTGTAACTGACCTTGTAACTGACCATGTAGCTGACCTTGTAACTGACCTTTTAGATGACCTTGTAGCTGACCTTTTAGCTGACCTTTTAGCTGACCGTGTAGCTGACCTTTTAGCCGACCTTGCAGCTGACCTTGCAGCTGACCTTGTAGCTGACCTTGTAGCTGACCTTTTAGCTGACCTTGTAGCTGACCTTGTAGTTGACATTGTAGCCGACACCAGTGAAAACAGACTAAATGAGCTACGTGACACAAAGCAATGACAAATGACACATGGCAGTGACATTAAAGGAAAGAACAGAAGAAATAATAAAAGGCTTTTAAAACCAAAATCTGACCGTAAAATTACTTACCCACCCTCGGTTAAATTAGCTTACTGTGTATATTAATGGCCCAGTATCTATTCTGTAGAGTGAATTGTGCGGTGGTAAAATCAGGGGAGGGGTGGGGGTGGGGGTAATAAATAACGGTACGCGACCGGTTAATGTTTGCTAGAAAAGGGAAGTGACTATGAGCAAAGAACTTTAATACCGGTGTGAAAAGTCTGTCAATAGATAAACCACCCTGATTCTATTTATAGCTTCCGAGTTTGTTGATTTAGGACAATATGGGAGACTACTCTAAAAACTTTCTATTTATAGTGACGTCACATAGGACACACCTCCTCACCGTACTCCGAGTGTGTATTTTTATTTATGTGTATAACCACTCAACCACCATTCTAAATCTTAATGTTTTATATGGTGTCACCCCCCCCCCCCCCCCCCGCCCTCTCAAATGTTGGTCAAGATAGAGATCCTAACATCGATGTGTGGCTAATTAACATCTATCCCACATCAACTAATGCCAGGTACCCATTTCAGCTGAGTGAGCACTATAGCGCCATGACGGACGAAGCCATGTTTATACAAGGGTCGTAACTGGGATAATTCAGGGGAGAGCATTCGTCACACTCCATTAACACGGGAGTGGGTTTACTCTGATGACGTCATGGAGCGGAGACATGCTAAGACAGGTACAGACATAGGGTCAATGACCTGGTCAGTTGGGCACGGCAGACGACAAAGCATCAAGTCCCCCAGCACATTGAATCTGCCGACTTTGAGTTCGATCCCATGCCGGCGGTGTGTGAGGCCAAGCTATTCACACCCAGTCTAGCACCGTCTTGCTAAAAACCACGGGGGATGGGTTAAATTATTAGAGGGGGGGGGGGGGCTTTGATATAGTTAAAAGGTGGGCGGGGGGGGGGGGGGAAGAAGAAGAAGAAAAAGATGTAACTTTATTTACGGCAGGTGAGGAGGTGGAGGGGTGGGGGATGTTATGGATTAAACGCTTGTTTTCAGACTGGATAGGTTTGTAGATATCCGGTAGATGAGGGGGGGGGGGGGTAGGTTAGATATGGTCGGTTATAGCTTGGACGGAGTGAGGAGCGGGAGGGGGGGGGGTAGTATGAAGAGGGACTTTTAAAGTGTGTGCGCGTGTGTATCTGTGTGCGTGTATGTGTGTATGTGTGAGTATGTTTGTATGTGTGTGTATGCCAACGTTCCTTACGTGTATTTTGCGTGCGCGGTACTTTAAAAGTCAAATACAAAGATATAAGTATTCTACAAATTGACAGCGCGGCAAATACTGCGCAACTGCGCAGGTTAGAAGGAACATTGGTGTATGCCTGCCACGTCTGATGGGGGGGGGGTGGTTGGTGGTCGGGGTGGGGAAAGTGTCATACGGAAATAAATGTCCAGACACCCACACGACTCAACAAAACCAGACGAAATATCGCAGACGACAGAATCCATACGGCGGTTAAAAAAACAGGATCAAGGAACTAAACACAATGTGGTGTGTCTTAATTACTCCAACTCAAGTTTTTTAACCTAATTAATTAGTGTCCCTGGGACAATGGGGATCGATAGTTGATTCCCGTGAATGATCCTAATCAAGCTCGACCCTGACTCAATTGGAGATCGCCGTAATTGGTCACGTGACGCCAAGCACGTGATCAGGTCTTAATGACAGGTCACAAACTCCGTGGAAACTTCGGGAAACTTTTATGTGTACGGTGAGTAGAAAACAGCGCACTAGAGGGCAGTGTTTCTTCCAGACTTTTTTCTCCGGGGGGGGGGGCACTTAAAATTTTCGGGGGGGGGGGGGGGGCGGTAAACTTTCTTCGGGGGGGCGGACACTGTTAAAAGTATATATTTTCTATATAAATTATATAAAATTCATTTCGTTCGGGGGGGAGGGGGGCGGTAGAATTTTTTCGGGGGGGGGGGGGGGCTTCGCCTGGAAGAAACTCTGCTAGAGGGAAGGTAGTGAGAGGAGCTCAAAGCTTAGCTCAAATGGGAGTTCATGTCTGAGCTGATGATGAGCTCAACACGGAGTTCAAGTCTAAGACGAAGATGACCTTAACGGGATGCAAAAATACACCCGGTAAACATGCTGGTGTGAAATGGGGGGGGGGGGGGGGGGGAACTTCAGGGTGTATATTTGCGTTGGTGGGGGGGGGGGGGGGAGTGTCGAAATGAGATTAACCACACATTTGTGTCATTTAAAAAAAAAAGAATAATTTTAGTTTTCGTTAAGATCATGCTTATTTATAGAAAGTTGTGGAACTTAATGCATAATTAGGAGCTAGGGGTGGAGATTTACTTTATGTGCAGTTGAGTTGGTTACAATGCAACTAAGTATTTATAGACATCTCAGAAGATATACGAATGTACTGACGTTTAGAATTTTGACCATAGTATTTACAAAAACAGGCTTCTGGTGTCTGAATGCTTCCCAGGCCAATTCTCTTCTGTTTCTTTTCCTTCAAATATACGCATTCGAAACTTTGGACTAAATTTGTTAAATACACCACTCACCGTGTATAAATGCTGCGATAGTCCCCGAAGTTAAAATAAAAATATAAAAAAAAAACGGCAAGAGAGAAAATAAAATAAAAAAAGATTTTAAAAAAAAAAGGAATTTTAAAATTTGGAAAGTTGGGCAGAAGATCAAAAAGCGAAAAGTCGTGCCGGTGTTCTATTCCACGGCGACCGTCTGCTGAATAATTGACGTCATCTTGCAGACGACGTAACGCGGCTCATGTCTGCTGGAAGCCGCCTTCACGCGAGACTTGAAACAAAAATACAGATCTACTTCAAGGAGCAGATCCTCGCATTCAATTGGTTGGCTTCGATCACGTGTCATGCAATTAGGTCATGGTAATGGCCGCGACTTGATTGTGTCGACCGCCGCGTCAAAGAACATTTCTAGTCATGCAATGTCAGAAATACATTCATTCAATCATTCATCATCCCTTCATTCTTTCAATCATTCATTCGTTCATTCCTTCGTTCATAAGTTCAATTATTCATTCGTTCATACGTTTAATCATTCTTTCGTTCATTCATTCAATCATCCATTCATTCATTCGTTCGTTTATTAATTCTTTCGCTCATTCGTTCAATCATCTAATCATATCTCCGTTAATTCAATCTTTCATTTTTTCATTAATTCATTAGCCTAAATTTTACCATTTAATTCACAATTGGAATAATTATTTCGCTCATTATGTCAGTCATCATTAGTTCATTAGTAATTTCTTCTTTCCTAAGTTCCCTAACTCCTTCTTTCCTTCCTTCATTCAATCTTTAATCTGTTCATTCATTTATCCTTACTTTTAAGCATTTCGTTGGCCAATTCAATTATTCATTAAAATATATCGCTCATAACGTA